CCCCCCCCCTTCAGGATTGGGCCTCTATATTATCAGTATAATAATTTTAAAAAAACTTTCGTTTGGTAACCAAATCAGAAATTATTTTGCAGTCGCAACAGAATTATTTCTGCTGCTGGGAACTGGCTGTTTGACATCAATCTTTGCCATGGATTAAATAAAAATACAGATGCTCCAGATGGAGGCTGCCAAGACTCCACCGTAAGTGCATTTAGATTTTTGTCATAAAAAAAAATCGCCGTTCATCACCTAGGAACGAACTCAAAATAAACTATAATGTACAGTATATATATATGTTATTTACCGGCTGCGAGGTCCGGATGAGAAAAACTGTGCCCGAGGTCTTGAAAACGGCCCAAACGTTTTCAAGACCGAGAGCACAGTTTTTAGTGTCAAGTTTCTTCGAAACTTGACAAGTATTGTGATGAGTGGGGAAAAATTCATATGAGTCAGGGATCAGGCATAATAGTGTAAACTTTCCGGGGGGTGTATACGATATATGTTCGTAGTGATTTATTGTACTTAGTCAGTGCTTTGAAGGTTATTTAGGCAATTTCAGTTGTCTTATTTAAATATTCTTTTGTCCTTTTGCCAAGTTCACAAAAATTTTGAGGAGTGGTTGTCGTTATTGTAATTTTTTGTAAATTTTATAACATTCGCTTCTCATGTTGTGTAAAAGATCTTTACCCCGGAACACTCGATTTTTTCTTTAGCAGCGCAAATGCGCATGCGCTATCAAACCGTAGATGACCTACGATGACGTGACGATGCTAGGAAGGAGCGACACAGTGTTGTTTTCAAATGTATACACATTTCAGATGTGAATATTGAGTAAATCTTTGAGAGTCTACGCAATATATAAATTGATGTTATTCATTACGGGCATTCAGTCAAGTACCGATATTACTTAGACGGTATATTCATTATACAGAGCTAAGAATTAAGGAGCTAGATAGTGCTTTTTTCCAAATGTATATAAAACATTTCAGACCTAATTATAAATATTGAGAAAATCTTCGAAGTGCCGATATTATTTTGACGGTATATTCATTATACAGAGCTAGGAAGGAGCGAGACAGCGTTGTTTTCAAATACATAAACATTTCAGACCGATGAATATTGATAAAATCTTTGAGATGCTACGTAATATATAAATTGATGTTGTGCATTTATACCGGCATTCAATTAAGTGCCGATATTATTTAGTCGTATATTCATTATACATCGAATGTAAAGGTGTAACACTGCTACACCACAGAATAGGTCACTCAGTACGAAGAGCAAAACATTGCATCAGATCAGTAGAGCATAAATAACTATCAAACAGAAGTAGTGTTTGTATATCATTGTATGGCGTTTGCTATCCAACGTGTAGTCACGGGCCTTGTTCACATGTCTGGCACAACGGTGCAAACTGGTGTTCAATGGCACAATGCAATATTCAAATGCAACGAGAACATCACCAGATCTTACGAGAATCTATCTGTATCAAAGCTTTATCAAAACTGCTATAAACTCTGCTGTAACTGTGAAATTATTGACATCTAAAGTGACATTATTGAATACTTGCGAAAAGCTGAAAATGACTCATATAAAAAAAACAACCTGATCTTGGCCTTGGGAATATAAAGTCAAAGGTCATTGAGACTTGTTATTGAGAAACATGTCACAATTAAGTTAAAATGCGGAAGCGGATGCGGAACCTAGCGGATCCATGGAGCGGGTGCGGAACGGATATGGGGATAAAATGCGTCATTTAAATGAATTTTTTCGCCTCATTTTTATGTGTCTGTGTTTTGGATTTATGTTTTTTGTAATGGGATGCAACGTCATATTAACTACAGTGTGTCCCCAAAAAAGTACCCTTATAACAATAGGATAGATACTTTCTATAGAGGGTACTTTTTTGGGACACACTGTAGTTATACAGCTATTTCAATTGTGTCACTGAGACAATAGTTAAATGTGCAATATGGGCGCTGATAGTTTTAAATAAGTTTAGTATATCAGTAGCCTCATGGGGATACTTTCAGCGACAGCTCCCAATGCAATTGTAGTTTTAGAATATACAAAATTTGGTTGCTGGTGAAAGAATTTAAATTTCGAGTTGTCTCGTGTAGCATCACAATAAATAAATAAATTGTACCAGTTCCACGAGGCACGGCGAAGGAAGTGACAATGAATTGTTTCTCTCGTAAAAACCTTGTTCTAATCCACATTTTTGAGTAACGTGCAGGGTTGGTATGTTAGATGAAGAATTAGGCCAAATCGTATTAGTGCCGTTATTGAAAACAAATAAAACAAAACACGCTAAGACAAAAAAACAAAGGCCTAATGTGACGTTGTTTGGCCTAATTGTTGAGCAAACCTATTAACCCGCTAGACCCTACGCAGTTCTTCCCGATCTTATTCAATTTGAAACTTTACACTATCCTTGGATCCCTAGTTTTCATCCGGACCTCGCAGCCGGTAAATAACGTGTTTATTTTTTATCAGATGTAAAAATTAAATTCATTAAAATTCCAGTGTTGCTTGCGAACTAATTTGAGATCAGTGTAGTTGTTTATTTTGAAAGCGAGGCCACAGAATAGGAAGGTACATCAGAAGCGTCACTCGAGTCGGTTCGCTTATTGTTTTACGTCCACGAAAATTTTAACTCGCTCACGCCATCCTGGCTAGTACAACCGGAAGTTTTTATCAGGTTTTGGTAGGTACAAAGTGCCGGTTGAACTGGCCAGGATGGCGTGATTGATGACGAATTGCTTGTAAAAACGCGGACAAATACTTGCTTGAGTTACACTTCTGGGGCCGGTTGTATAAAAAAGTGATTAAAGTTAACTATAGTTAGTGGAAACGTCATCCAATAAGAAGCGCGTATTTGAGAGTTAATCACTATTTAACTACAAAATAGTGATTAAAAAAGTGATTAAGAATTTTATACAACCGGCCCCTGCTATTCTGTGGCGAGGCTGACAAAAGTTGAAAAGTTGAAACTTGAAAAATATAAAACAAGAATACGAAAACTGGCAAGAAACACACAAAAAGACGTGTAGTTTCTGTAAACATTTTCATGCTTTTTTCATGAATATGGTAGCAGAAAAGCTTTGGAATAAAAATTTGTAAGCCAGGCGTTTTGGCTTTGACAATTTCGATTGCTTCTGACAACGACAGGTTCATGTTCAGATCCGACTAAAAAATACATAAAAATGAATCTGCTTTGATTTAATCAACGTTTTTCAACTAAAAATGAAAAAGGTATGTTATTTTTATATTTTTGTATTTTTGTAATTTTTCTGGTCGTTTCACGATAATATGCTTGAAAAAAGTGTTTTTAAACGCAGACTTTTACGTTGTTTACAATATTTATATCAGTGAAAAATGCCTGACACAAATTGTAGAGAATATATTCGTGACTTGTTTTCACTGCTGAAGTTAAACCGTTTTTTAAATGGGAAAACATTTATTTTACAATATTTGTTTAAGCTGTAATTTTTTCGCTTCTAGGTGGCCGAACATGAGCATTTAAAAAAATATATAGTTTTCTCGGCGTAAGGTTTGTACATGTTACATAACTTTCCGACTTTCAGTCGCATTTCTACCAAAATATTGTCAATTCTGGTGTACATCGTGCTTAGTATGAAGTCTGATGCAATTCATTTTCATATTTTGACTATCGCTAGGCTACGTTTTTCCAACGTTTTGGGCAGATTTTTTTGTTTAGAAATTGTTTCACTCATATTAATATTTTGCCGCGAAAACCAGAGCGGGCAGTTGCATTTCACAGCGGGCAGTTGCGTTTCAGAGCGGGCCGGATGCAAAAAACCGGCCCGCTCTGAAAGGCTCCTCAGCCAATCAGATTGCTTCATTTTGACTGATAAAAAATAAATTGGGTTAATAGGGTAGGTCTCTGATCTGTACTTTTGTATCTCAAAGGTTTGTCAGTATTCAGATTTAAATAAGAACAACACGTTTGAAATTGGGCATTTTGGAAGTGCTACGTTTGGCGACTATGACAACGAAACGAAGTCCATCACCTTGCAGTACCACGGCATTCTACAGGAGAAAGTATCAAGGTACAAATAGCTTAGCTTTCGATTAATATACCTCTTTCTGTCTTTTGTTGCCGATGACCCGATGTACGTAAAACTACAAGAAGAATTTCGATGTTTCGAGCGAAGGAAGGGTCTTCGCTCAACTGATCGAACGTCGAAGTTCTCCTTGTATTTTTCAACCGGTACTCGAAGTTTTAATTTAATTTATTGTACGATCATCCAGATAAAATTTTTTATTTGTTTCTGACGTTTCGGCTACAAATTAAAAATTAAAAACAATTAAAAATTTTAATCTCGATGATCGTACAATAATTAAATTAATGGAAGATTCCCTTCAGTGAATCGAAGTTTTAATAGTCGTACAACTGGAAGAATAAAATATGGGCCATGTTTTCAATCTCCAAATTTCTCAACCTCGTTCCCAGGTTCTTGCAAATTTCTCTCATGCTTGCAACCATAATGACAATCCAGCTGACGTCTGGATTGTCTATGTTGCAATTCACAATGCGAAAATTAATGCTATGTGGTGTGGTATTATTGCGGCATATTAATGCATTATTGGATTGAGAATTGTTGTTACATTTACGATCATTATTATATATATCATCGCCTCTACAGGGTGTCCCAAAAAACCCGAAAACTATTGAAATCACTTATTGTTAAAATTGAATGCCCTATCAAAAAGCTGAACGTAATGATGCGTAAAATATTGACAAGGTGCATGTATTAAAATTTAGTTAAAAACATATCCTTGTAAAGTGCGCGATTTTCTGCTCTTGGGAATTTAAAGCAGCTTCTTAAATAGTTTCTTTATGCATAAAATTTACTTATGTCAATCATTTATGCACCCGTGGGAACCAACAGAGTGCTAAGGCATTCAAATTCTAACAATTAAATTGTTATTGGTAATTTAAATAGTTTTCGGGTTTTTTGGGACACCCTGTATACACAACATTTAACTTTTTAAAAACTTCAATTGAATTGACAATTGAATTAGAAAGTGTTCTCTCAAGAGGAAAATTAAAATAATCACTATACGAATGATATATACGATCACTTGTTTTATTAGATCGATTACTATAACTTTGAAGTGTGAAGAAAATGGAAATGTTACCAAGGCAGATTACAGTGTGGTCAAACAGTTAGTGTTGACTAACAAATTTGTGAGTTATTCTTTCATCTACATATATTGCAGACAAAGCAAAGCAAAGCAAAACGAAACGAAACGAAACAAAACGAAACAAAACAAAACAAAACGAAACAAAACAAAACAAAACGAAACAAAACAAAACAAAACAAAACAAAACAAAACAAAACAAAACAAAACAAAACAAAACAAAACAAAACAAAACAATATATAATGGAATAATTACGACTTCCGCATACTTGACATTTTAAATTTCTAGAAAACTACGATCATAACTAAAGCAGCATGTTTACGTCCTGTGGTGGTTCCTAGTCCCACATCACCAGGAACATCGCCAAGAACATCACCAAGCACATCACCAAGAACATCACCAGGAACATCACCAAGCACATTACCAAGAACATCACCAAGCACATTACCAAGAACATCACCAAGTACATCACCAGGATCAACATCAAGCACATCACCAAGAACATCACCAGGAACATCACCAAGCACATCACCAAGCACGTCATCAGGAACATCACCAAGCACATCACCAAGTACATCACCAAGCACATCACCAAGCACATCACCAAGCACATCACCAGGAACATCACCAGGAACATCACCAGGAACTTCGCCAGTAACATCACCAGGAACTTCACCAGCAACGTCACCAGGAACTTCACGTAGTGGCGTAGCAAGCAGTGGTGGACTGAAAACTGTTTATATTGTTTTTATTGCTGTTGCTGGGTAAGGTTATGCAATTTTCTCTTTTTCTCAGAGTACGTAATCAATTTGTATTACAAAATAGGCACTTAGATGCCGAAACTCCGAAAGACGCCTACTTTTATAAAGAGAGAGGAATTTATATATTGTCTATTCTCCCATTTTGTCATGAGAACGGAAGAAGATGAAGGATAATTTTCATGGATCGATATAAGTTACTTATTCTGGCAATGTAAGAATAGAAATATATTGATAGAACAAATCAAACAACTGAAATGTTCTTGATTAAGTCTATTACTACTGTATAACGGTTATTATAATTTGAATGTGGTAAACTGTGTTTCGTTTGCAGTTGTTTTCTAAGCAATCTGTTATAATTAGACTATGCTAACCAACAGTGAGTCTGATGATGATTTTGCAATAAAATCGAAATATCACGAAATTGTTCTTGTCTTGCGTTTTATAATGCTAATGGTCAGAGCAAGTCATATCTTGAGTTTCAAAATGCTAATGGTAAGAGTAAATCTCGAACGGTCCGTGCCAGTGATAGGTAGCAAACGAATACAAAGTGCCGTGCAACTTTGTAGGTGACACAACTACCTAAAAATACAATTAAAAACAACTTCGACGTTTCGAGCGAAGGCCCTTTGAAAGTTACTAGCCTAAGCCGACGGAAGCTAATAATATGTATAGGTAATAACACGGGAAGGAGTGCAATTAATGATTAACACTACGAGTGATATTTGAAAAATGTGCCAAAATTGCACGAGCCGCCGAGGCGAGTGCAATTTGGCACATTTTTCAAATATCACGAGTAGTGTTAATCATTAATTGCACGACTTGCCCGTGTGATTATTTATTTATTATATGCATGACAAAATCGTTTTCTTTAAAATTCAACTGCATTTTGTCAAGAGTTTTTAATTCTTTTGTAAGCAATTTGGTATAAACAAACTTGGGAAATGATTATAAACTCAAAACAAGTGAAACTCCAAAAATCGATAAAAAAATTTTTTATCAAGGTAAATAAAAAATGTTATCGATTTTTGGAGTTTCACTTGTTTTGTATTTTATTAAAATGCTCAGTGGTTCTAGAGATTATAAACTCATATCAAACAACACATTTTAGACTAAGAAAATCTTTATAAATTGTATTTCAAACTTATATAGTCACGTTTCGCTGCATCCCGCCTAGATTATTTCTTAAAACTGTTTCCAAGTATTTTCCACAGGCTCTTGTTGCCACACAATGTTTTCTAAACTCATTCTGGTAAACTCATTCTGATTTCCAAAATTCAGTTAAATTCATCCACATTTGTTAGAAATACTTATTTAAATTTCGCCGCCATATTGGATTTTGTTGTTTTGATTTCCCGCTCCCAGCAGTCATCACGAAAATCATTTTAAAATTGCACTCCTGGAGAGTGCAATTAATGAAATAATTGCACTCCTCTTAACCAATCAGATTGCAGTAATTTTGTTATGTATATAGTAAGGCCAATAATTGGCTAACTTTCAGATGAAGTAACTTTCAGATGAAGGACCTTCCTCGAAATGTCGAAGTTCTTTTTGTTATTTTCATCTACAGTGGTCGCAGTTTGTAATCTTCAGATTGTACTACTACTGTAGTTTGTTTTATTTTCTTTTAAATTGTCGGCTGGGATAGATTGAATTTTGATACATGCAGAGTATTTTACAAATTGCTGTAGATTGGTGATTGTTCTTGCTATTGGTTCTTATGTTGCTTACAAGATGTTCATGAAACGAAGAAGATCTAGAGTTTTACTTATTGAAGAAGAAGAAGAAAATATCTCACGACTTCACAACCAGGTTTGTTGAATATTTTTAACACCTTGATCTTGTGTAAGGGTGAATTGTACGTACCATGGATAATAAAATACATGGATAGGAAACTAGCTGACGTGACCTAATGTTTTCAATGGGATGATGGCGTTGAAACCTAGTTGCAAACCAAATTCTCAAAAACGGCATGTTTAGCGATAATACAGCTAAACATTTTAGTCAAAGAGCAAATAAATATAACTAGGCCATTCTACGATGAAATCTCTAAGTATTCCCGGTCAATTTTAGCAAATATTTCAAGCACTAAACAGTGAAAAATGCATCGCAAATTTCGTTAAAATTGGCGACGCCAATTTCGTAGCTACAAATGTAAAAAAATACAAAACAAAGACGAAAAACATTTACCTTGAATGCTTTGTCGTGGCTTAGGCATGTTTTTACAACAATTAGACCAGTTTATGCTTCAATAGCGAAACAACAAAAATGCTGAGAACTTTGGCAATACGCGTGGCATCACAGATTGCAACTAGGTTTAGACTGTGACGTCATGAAGTTTCCTATCCAGTTATTTTACAATCCATGATTGTACCTCGTACATCATAATATAATTTCTTTTTTTCATAAATAAATAATTTTAGAGGAGTGCGCGGAGGGCCATTAAATGTCGAAATTTGTTTTATATTTTACGGGTTGTTGAATCTTCTACAGTGTTCGCATTTAGTTAGTTGTTAATTATTCTTGTCCCCATAGGGTTGACAATATTGTAGTCAGTAAGGAATTTGTGTAACAACTAAATATTTATTTTGTCATGTTTTACAGAATGCCTGCTCGACACCAGTATCTGGGCCAGTTTGATCAACTTTGATGAAATATTCACTGATCGCAAAAAGATCATAGAAAATTATTTACATATTATTTTGTCAATACTTTGTGCCTTTAGTATTTTACCTCGTATCATGAAGCAACTGAAATGCTCTTGATTAGGTCTGGGACTATATGACGGTTTAGGGATTACTAATCAGGCCTACTCTGGGACCTTAACTCGCCTTAACTCGCCCTAACTCGCCTTATCTCGCCCTATCTCGCAATAGAAAAAGATCGAATTTTGCTTAACTCGCCCAATCTCGCAATGAGAAGTTGACAGAATTTTGCTTAACTCGCCTAAACTCGCCCTATTTTGCAATAAAAACCGGCACAGTTTCACGTCAGTAAAACACAAATACTGTCAATCAAAATTCTTTAGACTCACAATACTCACTTATATATTCTATGAGTTTGGCATTGCAACTGACATCAACATACAAGTATGTAAGCCTGATTATCTGAAATGTTTTCATATTTTTAATTTACTACATTCTCTGTAATGCCATAAAGCTGTATTGATCAAATAATTCCACCAACTACTCTACTTTAATACAGTAAGCAGGCCTTAGCAGGCATACTGTATACAGTAATACCCAGTATTTAAAGGGGAAGTCAAGTCCGTTCTGCGCATCGGTTCTGCGCATAACAATAGAGGGCCCTCTGAGGTAAACATTGCCCAAATTTTGAATGTTTCGAATTTTTCTGAACACAAACTCTATTTCATATTCATGTAGAAGCATAACGAACCAAAATGGTGTTAGATATTCAGACAGTACATCATATTTTAAAAAATACAGCAGTTCAAAATGTAAACAAACCGTTTGTTTACATTACGGACTTGACTTCCCCTTTAATAAATCACAGTGAATATAATTGAACATAATAACAGAACCCAAACTTCCAAGTATGGTTGAAATATTCCCATATATACTAATATACAGATCACTTATCTATTCTATTTCAACTATACAATGATATCAAAACATCAAAAGTACTTGCTTAGCTTTTATGCAGCTATCAGCCTATCACATGACTATCAAATTTTACTAAAATACTGTTATACTTGTAGTATAAAAGGTCTCTGTGATATCAACAGCTCAAACTGCAAAGTTATTCGTTGAACTGTTTTTATATACAACCGGCAACAGAGCTACTGAACCAACGATACGCGCAGAATTTTAGGAGAAATATTTTAATACACAATCACATTCACAAAATTCGTGAAAATATAGATTTACAGTAAAAGCAAAGTTAAAGGTGAATATTGTAGTAAACATACCGTGCTTGCCTGTCTGCGACCAACATTAAATTTAGTAGAAACAATCTGTAGGGACAAGGCTTTTTGAATCTCATTTTAATATCATAAATTCATAATACATCAATAACATGATATTAAAACAACGAAGTGACTATATGACCGGCTGCCGGTCACGGTTTATAAAATACTAAATGGCCGGCAGTCTAGTGACTATTGTTAAAGTTTAATTTTTATAAGATAAACCTATCCCAAACCCCAAATCCTTTTCTAACCCTAACCCCTAACCCTAACCTTTTGACAGTTAGAAAAGTCGGGAAAAAAAGTTTAAAAAATTTTAAGAAAAAATAATGCTAAGTCAGACAAAACACATCGCGACCCCGACTGCGCTTAACTTTCCGCACGCAGCGCCCTTGCCGTGTATGAGCCAGGGCGCTTATATAGAGGGCGGTGAAACGCGCTGATGTCGTGCTGATCGATGTGTGACTGCCTCCTCCGCAGGCCCTCGTTGTCTCATGGGAAGGTCACGATCTGGCGAGGGCCTGCGGAATCTTGTAAAAAAAATGGCGCCGGCGTCACGTCAGCAAGTAAATTTCTACATAATCTTGAACATAAACAGATATAAAAAAGCGGCGTGAAACTTGTAAATTAAACTGGCGACTCTTAGGATGTGGAAGGAAGCATTTTTTAACGATAAGGTTTGTTGTCCACACCAACGTTGCACGAATAAAACTGCCTTCTTCGACGAAGCAGGTTCAAAACAACATTTATTCATTTTACAAGATTCCGCAGGCCCTCTCGAAAGCGTGACCTTCCCATGAGACAACGAG